TTTTATCAAATTTAATAGGATTCTCATGTGTTATTTATGAATGTATCACTAATAATACTAAAACAACATTCTTAGGGTATTCTTAAACGAGTTAAATCACAGCGTTTATCGTTGAATGATTGGCGAAATCTCTACACGGTATTTCTATCACTTATGAATATCTTTCTTAATAATGTAACTATATTTTCTATTCGACTTTTGAAATGAAAAAACTTTTCTGAAGATAGTGCTGCAAACATGAAAAATTTATTTTTGAAAAAAATTTCGTTTTTCTTGGCATCATGGACCTGAAAAAATGAATTCTTGATTTGTAAAAGTATTTGGACCAAATATACAAATGGAGCATAATTTTCTTTTTCAAGACATGCAATGCGGCAGATCAAATTATTGATTACATTAAAATGCGAGAAATAAAGCTGGCATTAATAGATAACGACGTGATAAGCGTTTGTAAGGATATTGCTCGTGTAACAGCTGTCATCTACGGAATTGTCAGTTATCGCTTTTTTTAGTTTTTAAGACTTTTTAGATCATTCAGATCTATATTATCGGAGTCTTAAAAAATTTGAGGCAATATTTGTCACAAAAAGTCAAATTAGCTCTGAGCATACGTAAAGCACGCTGATAAACGTTTGATTCAATAGATTTTGTCTAAATATTAGATGATGCTAATGACTTCACAAAGAGTTTCAGAATAGAACTTTTATGTACTGGTTTTTTTTAACAGATCAATTTCTCAGAATCCTTTGCTGAAAATCGATTTGTCGTTAATGCCAACGTAGACAAAAATTTGGATGACCGTAAGATTTCGTTTACTGTTTCAAAAGCTCGGATTTTTTCAATTTTGGCACATATTGTTTCTAGTATTTGTGTACTCTTTTTTAAATTTCTTTATCATAGTCGAATTTTCAGTAAAGCAACTGTATACTTCTTTACCAGAAATGCTTACATCTATTGCAGAGAAGGAGGCTGCACTATTAAGTATTTTTTATTTTATTTTTGTATTAATTTCATATGATCATCATTAAACTGATGTGAGTCACTTTAAATAATGAGTCTTTTCTGTAACATATTGTTAATGATGAAAATATTTCATAGATGTTCCATCATCAGTGTGTTACATACCAATGTTTGGATATTTGTTAGTTGTACCCAAAAATACTCTATTTCCGTCTACTATCCGGGGAGAAATTGAGCTTTTATATGAAAGTGAAGATATGATTCACGTGAAAAATAAACGAATGCGAGAACTGGATCGAGAAATCGGTGACATAAAAATGGAAATAATTGATATTGAAACTAATGCTATGCTGAAGTTTGTTTTTGGTTTGCAGTATTCAGTTCGAATTTCAAAAATTTGTATAGAAAATGTTACAATTTAAACATTTAATATGTAGCGAAAAAAGCACATTAAGGAAATAGTTCTAAATTAGATTGAAGCAACTTATTGGCCGAAATGATGAAGTGATTCGCCGATCTGCATTCATATGCGCTACACTTGATTGCATCATTTCCCTTGCTCTAACTGCTAGGGAATACAACTGGTATTGTCCACATTATGTTGATGAATCAGTAATTGATGTCGATGATGGAAGGCATGCTATTGCTGAACTTTTATCAACTACCAAATTTGTTCCAAATTCAGTACGGTATGCAGAAGCTCTTTTATATTTGAAGTTTTTAAACATGTCCATTTTTTCATGATTTTTTAAATGGATGCTTCTAATAAGACTTTTGATTAACTTGATATTTTCTGCACTTTTTTTTCTTCTGTTGAGTACAACTTGCAACGAAAGCATATTGGTACTTCGCTGAGATATATCGAGTGAAAATGATTACTTTTTTGTTTGCAGGTCAGGAGGTGTGCACACAAAAATTAAAATTTTAATGGGACCTAATGCATCTGGCAAAAGTATTTATTTGAAGCAGGTATAGTTTAAACTGTTCTAAATTTTCTGATTCATAAATGTAAGCAATTATAATAAAGTTATTCTATCTGTGAAGTGAAGAAATAAATGTGGGTAATTATAAGCTGAAGCCCATGTTTACCAAAAGAATGAATAATTGAAGTAAAAAAGATATCTGAGTGATTCTGATTTCAGATTGGAATCATCGTTTTTCTTGCTCATGTTGGAAGTTTTGTACCTGCTAAAAAAGCCATTATTGGACCAGTAGATCGCATTATTACGCGAATTCACACCGTAGATTGTGTGATGGATGGAATGTCTACGTTTGCAACCGATTTGTCTCAGGTGGCTCGCAACAATGTTTTCCTTACTTGAACATTTAAGTATTTAAATTTTTTAAAGCAAGTCTGATTCATTAACTTGTACTTAATCTTTTATCATTTCAATAAACGATAATAAAAGTTTACATCAGTTTGTATCTGAATTTTGAAGATGTCAGTTGCTCTGCGACGTGGAACCGGAAATTCGTTAATTTTAATCGATGAATTTGGGAAAGGTACAATTATGGTATGCCAGTTCCAAATGTTTGGGGAAAAATATGATAAAATCTTTCGTGATTCAGTAACGGACCGAAAAGTTTCACTAATACTATTCGTAGATTGTTAATGTTCCCTGACTCATTAAAACTGCGCGGTAATTCTCATGCTTACAGGAAGCAGGTCTTTCATTATTAGCATCATCATTGAATTACTGGATTCGCAAAGGGAAAAGTGACTGCCCTCATGTTTTTGCAGTATCACATTTCTACACACTCTTCGATCATATAATTAAAGATGAAAGCATTTTGTCATTTTCGGTATTAAAATTTTGTATCGCATCCAAATTTCGTAGATTTTTATTGTCAGCATTCTTCACTTGAGATCAGTTAGAAAAGTGAAGGATATTAAAAACTGCTTTGTCCAATCACAAATTGAGACACTTTAATATTTTCTGATATCCTGTTGATATAAAAATAATTTATGATTTATTTTGCATAAAGAGTGGTAAAAAGCAAACAAAATGAACTGGTCGTTTCAAATATTTTGAATAAATAACAAAGAATAAAATGGATATAGTACTAAGAAATCTTCATTGTTCTGGTTATAGACGATGAATGCTATTTTGGCGGGAGAAAAGCTTAGTTTTCAATATAAACTCATTGATGGCTTTATCAGCTCTTCACATGCTTCACAAATTGCTCGTAAAATGGGCATAGATGAAAACATCATAAATAGGGCTCATGAAGTTTGTTTTTGCAAGAAATTTATTGTTCTATGAATTCTCAAAATACATTAAAGAACCATGCAGAATTACATTTGTAATTTGAATCAAACTTATTTTAGATTCATGAATGCTTGAAATCCAACAAATGTATAGAACCTGTTGATCATGATGAAGAATTGGTACACAAATTCACTCCCATAATCAATGTATTGGAAAGTATCGAATTTTCCACTGACTTGAACGGTTATTCTTTGCTAAATGTGAAAATTAAATAAAGGATTAAGTGGATGAAGCCAGGTGAAGGTGTTAAATAGGAATATCAACCCAAATCAGTGTAGTACAAACAAAATCAGTGTTGCACAATTTTCAGATTTCATACAAACCGTGTCCAGTTTACTATTACCATTGCAACAAACGAATACTGCTACTGAACTAACAGTTGATCAAGACAGTCAAAATAGTAGTACCATCAATGTGGTAGTTGATAACATCATAGATGCCGTGGAAAAAAATGTCTTGATCCAAAATCATGAAATTTCTATGAAAATAAGGTTGGCACTTCATTATTCACTACATCTTTGTTAAAATCAACTTTTTTTGCAAAAAGTTTTTTGGTTTGCAGAGTTGGAATCAGAAATAAATAGCAAAGGAATTTCAATCCCTGAAGAGTTTTTTATGCTTGCAATTGCAAGCACAAGGTCATAGAATATCTTAATAGCTACTTGCTTTCCTTCTAAATCCATACCTTTATTTGTTCTCCAGTTTTTACGAGCTACGAAATCAGATTATATCTGCAAAATTAAACAGAATTTGAATCTTTAGACGCAAACTAGAGTTACAAATAATTTTGAAAGCATTATAATCTTACTCTATGGATAACGTGGGGATCAGCTGTTTACTTTGAAATAATTTTAATAAATTTTGAGCTTTAATGATAAAAATCAGTGTTTTAATTAAGCTGAAGTAACTTAGGAAATAAAATACTAATTATAGTGATCTTGATAAGAAATCAGAAGACTGTTCTATCACAAAAACAACCGAATCTGCACTAAATGTGACAAAAACGTCCTTATTGAAGAGGAAACAAGTGGAAGACGCAAGTTTTAATTTTTACGGGACATGAATTTTTAGTTTATTTACTGAATATATCATTTGTAAGTTAAGGAAAGCTCCCCAAAAAAAAAGTTTGATCTCAAAACTAAAACGTTCTGTGCATATCTGTAACTTATCAGTGATCCTAAAAACTTTTTATCACATTACTGCAGTTCGCGGTGTGAACTCTTGCATCGTTATTCCCTGTGATAATTGAAATATTATATTGGTTGATCGGAAAGATCTCGAATTATGGAGTGATTTTTCAGCAATGTCAGTCGCCTCGCAGCCTTTCTTTATCGAGTTCAGCGAGCAATTTTTCGAGCACACCTTCATTTGTGTTAGTCTTTTATTTCTTAAGATATTTGATCTAATTTTCTTTAATTTTCAGAACAAAAATTTTCTTGACAGGAACTATGTAGATCACATGATTCCTTAAACATTCATTTTAAAATTCAGTGACTCAACTAGAATGCAGCGATCTTACAACGGTTCTCTGTACTCTCATATGTGAAATATTGTTTAGGATGGATAGCCAGGCGATGCAAGATATTGTTGACTAGAATAAGCATGAAAGCGCCGAAACAATTCAGATGAGCGGATGAAATCATGAACCTAGCATATCACTTCGCTTCCTTGTACCTCAGTAATTGTGCATTCTGTTTCGAAATATCTTCATAATACTAATCAGATTTTCGAAACATTAAGAGCGAAGAACGTAAGCTACAAAAATTCAAGCATCACAACTCTTCACTTTCCCTATCGCTAAGATCAACCGAAGGTAACGAAATCAAAATAAATGGTTCTTCCCTAACAATTGTGAACAATCTAAAGATTTCATAGTTTCCATGAAAAACAGGTAATAATTAATTCCTTTTACTATTTC